AAAATATGATTTGTAATGCTCTTTTTTAATGAATTTGTAGAATGGTTTAAAAGTACTTTTCTGAATGACTGCACCAAATTTCAGTGTTTTATAGCACCACATTCGTGGCTGGTGGGCAATTAAAACAGACCATACTTTCGTGGTACTGTAGTAAGATCTGCATTGCCTTGAAAAGTACCCTTTTTCGAATTATCATAAGTGACCACTTAGACATTACAGGCAGATAAAGTGATACAAAATGTGTATGATGCTGTAGGTCTGCTGATACACTACAAACCTCTGAGCAGCTCAAATAACGCGGTAAGTATGTATGGTAAAATATCGGTATAGTTCATCGTCATATTCGGTTTTCTAACATCTGCCTTACTACAGTCTCTTTTCGGAAATTCTTTACATCATTTCACTTTACATGGCAGTCTCTTCTTACCACGAACAAATTTGGCTTCCCGCTAGGCAGATCAACCACGGATGCTATTTTCGCTTTAAGATCAGTCCTCGAAACATACAGAGATGGCAGACAAGACATTCTAATTGTGTTCCTAGACTTGGAGAAAGCCTTTGACCGAATCCCGAGGGAAGCAATCTGGTGGAGCATGAGAAGGTAGCTTGTGGTAGAAAAATATGTCAGCCTTACCAAAAACACGTACGACAGAGTTAGAACGACAGTCCGAAGTACATGCGGTGAAACGGAAGAGTTCCCTGAACAAGTGAGAGTCCGCTAAGGATTCGCACGGAGTCCATTTCTGTTCTCGATGACGACAGACGCAATAACTGAGGATTTGCACGAACCACCCCCATACTCTGCATGCTTTATGCAGATGATTTTGTGCTATGCAGCGAAAGCAAAGCAGCTGTAGAATAAAAAACCGAGGCTTGACGAAGAGCCCTTGAGAAGAACGGCTTTTGACTCAGTAAACACAAGCCAGAATATATGGTGAGCTAATTCAGTTGAAAAATCAGGTTGATATCCGTCAAGTGAAAATAGCGTGGTGCTTGCTGCCTCAAATCCAAGAATTCAACTATCTTGGTTCCATCCTGCAAGATAACGAGCAAATCGACAGTGAGATAAGAATTCGGTGGAAAAAAGCTTGGCTCAAATGGAGAGAAGTGATTGGAATACTGCGCGACAAGAAGATAAAGATAAATGTATACATAACGATAGTAAGACCGGTGCTTCTGTAAGGAGCGGACTGTTTGGCTATACTGAAGAGACATGAGCAACAGCTGATCTCGATAGAAATGCAAATACTCAGATAGATGTGTGGTGTCAGCAGAAAGAACTACATCTGAAACAGCTCCATGTGAAACAGTATAGGCATAGCACCAATTTCAGAAAAGCTGGTAGAAAGCAGGCTCCGCTGGTTCGATGACGTGAAAAGAAGACCCACCGAGTTCGTTGGAAATGTGGTCTAAGCACTGACGTTTCAGAGAAAGAAAAGAAGGGAAGGGCAGAAGAAAAGGTGGCGCGATGTCGTCAAGAATATGACACTGCAAGGAGCCCCTGAAGATATAGCGAGCGACAGAAAAATGTGGAGGAGATTGACTCGATTAGCAGACCCTTGTTAAAGGGAACAAGCTAGGAAGAGGAAGAACAGATAGTCTGGGTGGTAATTCTGTTTCTTCCACTCGTTTTTGTGTTACGTTGCAGCTGTCATGTAACGTGCACTTTGCTGCAATGCAGTGCATTACATAGGCGTAGGTTAGTTGATGACTTCATTTGGCGTGAGGGCGAGCGAAGATAACTTAGTAATCGTGGCAGGTGACTTTGAATTGTCGAATCGCCGATGGTTTCTGAATCTCGTGACGTTTCAAACACGCTCGATGCGAGAGGTAATAACTGCTTTATCAATGAAATTTCGACACTAATGACCGTTTAATAGACTCTGCTTGCTTCAGTTGGTCACGGTGTTACCCTGCGACAACCAAAAGTTTGCAAAAGGATGCTTTCATGAAGCAGTAAAAAATGAGGGTTTGTGTGCATAGGTTCTGCATCTGCCACGGAAGCTCCCGAGCCTATGTAGGACATCTTTGTTGCTACAAGCTACAGCTTCAGCTGCCCAGAAATTAGTAAGAAAAATTGGAAGATATTCTCATCCTATATTAATTAATCCTAGTATTGGGAATTCTTGATGAATAGGGCTCATCGTAATGACGCCGTTTCCGTCTGATTTATGCAGCTATCTTGCTGATCAAAGACAACATCTTTAAGGTTTTTAACCTTTACTGAAACACTGTGATGCGTTTACACAATGGTTTCATCATAAGTAACTACGCATCATATGTTAACTAGGCAAAAAATCAAGCTATGTTAG